AATGCCCCCAGACTGACGAACGATGATCAAGTTAGTAAACTTTGTTTTGCTATCATAACAGACGTACTATTACCTTTGTTATTTGGTTTAGTGTTATCTTCATTGTTATTTTTACTTTCAATATGTCCCTTTAACTTGACCTAAGTCTATTTTCTCACCTCTTAACTGTTTGTTATATATATATGTTGAGTGGATTTTGTAAATTCCGGTTTAATAATACTTTGACAAAGCTATTAGCAATAAATAGCGAAACGTCAGTAAAAGCGACAATATCGTTTTGCTCTTTTTCATTCATTGGGAAATACAAAAACCTTTATTATAATGTACTGACTAATATTAACACCTATGTTTGTGACAACTTATCACTTCGCTTAGTACCTACCCTCTTAGAAGACAAAATTGTCTATATATATGCGACTGTACAGTTCAAGAAAATGAATTGACCGAAAACAGTCTCTTCGCTGAACTACACACATTTCTTTCTTTCTTTTTATTTATTTATTAATGTTAGCATTGGAATTTTTTCGCATGAAATGGAAATAAGCCATGCATGGATTATCAACAACTGAATACTTGTGTTAAAGAGGAAGAGGCACGTACCTTCGTTCAACTATAAGCAAGTGGTTGGCAAATAGTCATTGACTGACACACACGACAAGAATCTGTGACATTCCCTCCCCCTCTTATATTTAAGTTGTATGATTCGCGCGCTGCTTTTGTTACTAGATGTTACTCTCTGGAGGCAGACTTGAACTTTTGTAGTCAGACTGATTGAATTGACTCGTCAGATTGCTCTTTCCTTGAAGCACTTAGTCACTCAAACATTGTCAAATTTCCCACTCGACTTGACAAAACACTGGATTTAGTTTTCACAAATGACGAAGGAATATACGAAACACGTGAACGTGTACCGATACTTAACTCTGATCACTCTGTTGTTCGTGTTTTACCAAAAATATACAGCAAAACGCATATTAAAGTCTTCTCACATCTGTCTATGAAAGCACAACAAAGATGCTACACATCTGACAACTTACTCAATCTCAGGTGCATGTTAAAAAATACTAACTGGGATTTATTCAATGAAAGTACATTAGATGACACAATCGCCAATATAACGGACTATCTTAAGTTCTGCCTCGATATATGCTGTCCTAAACAAACACTATTCAAAAGCTTCGACCGCTTCTCGTCTCCTCGTCTCAAACAACTTCGCAGGCAAAAAGAAACTTATACAAATCCAAAGATAAGTTAGGACTCAAAAAGATTAATGCTCAGATCAAATCTGAAATCAAAAATCTTAATGCTATCTACAATGATACACTTTTATCATGCAAATCTCCTATCAGCATGTGGAAACTTTTTAATGAAATTACTGGCAATAGTAAGCGTTGTAATGCTTTTCCCTCTTATGATGTTAATGCTCTTAATCAGTCTTTTATACGCTGTCCTTCTACTTTAACTACTTCTAATGTTACCAATCATGTAGCTGAAAACTTTCATGACTTTAATGCTCTCGATGTTCTAAAATGTCTTAAAACGCTCAAGCCCTCACGTAGCCTTGGCCCTGATGGTATACCTGCATATGTTCTAAAACAATGTGCAGATGCTTTATGTTCTCCACTAACTAACATCCTAAATGCTTCTTTCTCCAAAAATGTCGTACCTGATGCATGGAAAGACATTAAAATAGTCCCTGTCCCTAAACCTGGAAACAGCAAGAACGTAAAGTTCAGACCCATTGCCATCACTTCCCCGTTTCTAAAGCTTATGGAAAAACTAGTACTTCTTAAACTTGAACCCTCCCTTAAAAACTTTGAAGACCCCAAACAATTTGTCTATAGATAGGGTAGGAGCACTTTAGACGCTGTAGCAGTCTTACACAACAACATCGTCTCATCACTAGATAAAGGTGCCAAATATGTCCGCTGCACGTTTCTCGACTTCACTTCTGCTTTCGACTCTGTACCTAGATGTCTCTTGCTAAGTAAGCTCTCTATGACAAAAATTGAGTCCTGGGTCACTAACTCGCTGCATTCCTACTTCTCTAACAGAAAGCAGTACACCGTATACAAAGGTAAATCCTGCTCTGCTGCGCTCACTGAAGCTAGTGTCCCCCAAGGTGCTGTACTCTCCCCACTTCTCTTTTCTTTCTTTCTACATGACTTACCATCTTCAAATGACATTAATTTTGTCAAATATGCTGACGACCTGACAGTATCTTTGCCTGTCAAATGTCAAAGTGACTGCTCTAAACTTAATGGCTTTCTGTCAGAAATCAGCCAGTGGTCCAAGGAAAACGGTCTTACCTTAAACCCCTCCAAATGCCAAACAGTCAATTTCACCTTGAGGCATAAATCCGACTTAAACAAACTGGTTGGCTCTCACGAGGTATGCAACATAGATGGCACTGAAATAGAAACCAAGTCGGAAATTAAATACCTAGGCGTCATTCTATCTGCTGATCTCTCCTGGTCGTCTCATATCTTGACGATTACTAAGAAAATATTCCATCTTACCTTCTAAATCAAGAAGTTAAAACATTCTGGTATAACCCAACCCTTACTCCTACAATTCGTTAACTCTCGCATTCTGCCTATTATTCTCTATTGTTCCCCCTTAGTCTTTCCTGGGCTACTGAAGAAAGACTATAACATATTACGCAGGATGTTAAAGGTTGTCAGCAGGGTAAGCAATGTGCCACTTAACCAGCTTGTTAATATTCTGGTCGACAGGCAGGCACATGGACTCATGTGAAAAATGAGGGCCAAATCCATTTTATCTAACTCACACCACCCTCTTCACTCACAACTCTCCCCTTGTATCTCATCAGGCAAAACCAGAAGCCTATATAGGAAACTATATGCTCGCACCAGCAAGTACAAAAACTCAACCATACCCTACTTAGCTCGTGTTCTGTGCGATAAAGAAAGCATAAGGCGTGACACCTATAATTCATTAAATAGTCAGTAGTACAACTGGACCTCGTCTTTCCAACTCATATCATTTATAGGTACAACGTTTTTCTTTCTTAATTTTCCTTTTCTCTCTCTTTTCTCCGTTATGTGCTGCTTTGTTTCTTTCTCTCGCTTACGCCAGTAAATATGACAGCACCTACTTTTCTAACACCTTCAAACACTGTTCAGCTTTGGCTTTGCTACCGACATGCCAATGTGTTGTTGTCATAATGAACTGAGATTTCCTTAATCTATGTAGAATTCTATTTATTGATAATGTACTAACTGGATGCAATACTGTAGTAGAAATGCTGAGAATTCCATTCTGTATCACAAGTACTGTTTTGGAATAAAGCAAATTATTATTATTATTAAATTCAATCACTTATAGTGCAGTGGAAGCATATCAAAAGCCGAAGACATTTTGATTAAAATTCAACTCATGCCATCCCAATCTCAATTTCACAGTAAGTAGAACACGAGGAAAACGATACTATTAAATAAATTCCCAGACTTTTTTCTAGCGAAAATGACTGGTGGCACAATCGAAAGATCAATATTTAGAAAGTCTTCATGGACAGGACAGGACAGTACATGCATTTCAAAAGCTTTGTTCCAATCCAGTATAAAAAGAACTTAGTCAGAACACTGTTCAATAGAGCAGGAAAAATTTCTTCTGACAGTACTGTTGAGCATGAAATAAAATCTCTGAAGGATATTTTTTATCTAAGAATGGATATCCTGAGAAGTTCATTAATAAATACTCTAAAGAAAACAGCCCCTGCAAAACAATCCAAATAGTTCCGAAGAAACCTGTCTATATATCAGTTTGCCGTTCAAAGCAGATGATGTACAGGAAGTAGTCAAACGAAGACTCGACAAAGCCATCAAGAGAACTTATTATGCTGCAAAACTTGTTTTCCTTAACACCACTAAGCGAGTCCTTCAACAATCTGGGAAAGACCAGTCGTCAATCCTCGACACTTCAAACTGCGTATATCAATTTGATGAGTGTGTTTGTGGAAGCAAATACATAGGTCGCACAGATAGGTGATTGTCTACTCATGGCATGATGGAGCATTTGCCAAAATGGTTGAAAACAGCTGAATGCGCAAAGTGCCAAAATCCTCAATAACAAAGCATCTTGTGGATTACGCACATGATATCGACGCGGTCAAGTCATTCACTGTTATTGTCAGCAGACAAAGAAACAAGAAGATGCTTGCAATTGCCGAGGAGGCTTGTGCAATTCGAGTTTATAAACCAGGTCTCTGTGTACAAAAGGAGATGGTCGTGACTCTGAATCTACCATGGTAATACGTTTTACTTATTATTCTACCTTATTATTATTATTCTTGATTCATTTAAAACTATCCTTTATCAGTAGGATTATCTTAACTCACTTCAACACTATTATTATTGTTATTATAACTATTACTATTGATATTACTCTGTTTACAATTCTTGTTAAATTCTCTAATGACTAATTGTTTATCTAAGTGATGTGTAATTGAAGCGTAATGCAATTTATCTTAATTTTGATCTCTCATACTCCCTTTCCCCACTTATCTCTTTGAACATGACCTGGAAAACATTCGCACCTGTCTTTCTGCATGACTAATTCAATGTAGTTTGTTTACTTATCAGTCTCATATCTCCCAATGTAATTTCAAAAGTATATATATATTTATCCGTGTATGTAGAATACTGAGCAGCTAACGAGTTCTACCGAAATTTGATGAATTCATTAATAATCCTGCTTTATTAACCCCCCTGTGTCGCTTGTTTTAAATTCGTATCGGGAAATAAATGTTTTCAAGTAGCATTTAACTACTTTATAACACAGGTAAACAGCGCAGTGCAATGTGTGTAGTTATTGGCCAATCTGTGCGCTAGCTATCTTACTATCTCCCTCTCTCCGGTGAATTCGCTTTACACTTTCACACACGAAATGACGTTAGGCCATGAGTGTCACTTGGTTGGTTGGCTGGCTGGCGGCTTTAAGAAAGACGTAGAGACGAAATTCAGCATGAAAAGGTTATATTTACAAGATAACAATAATAATAATAATTATTATTATTATTACATAGTCACACAAATAGAATTATACAGTGCATTCTTCCACACACACACACACTAAGACACTGGGCTGTTAATCATCATTCTCGGTGCGATAGACATTGACATTAATTCTTGGAATAATAGTTTACACGCGTAGGGTAATTTGATCAAGGAGATCTAAAGAGAAGGAAGATAAGGTAAGGTAAATGAGACAAGCACGATTAACGTGTATACACACACACATTATAAAAAAAATTACAGCGCTCATTTTCATAAAACTGAATTGGCAGAAGTTATAATTCATGCACTGACTGACTGGCTATTGGATCGGGTCCCAGTGAGTGGCTTAATGATTTACGAGCTAGCTCGCTGGCCTTGTAACCAGAAGGTCCTGGGTTCGAACCCCAGTGAGGTGGGTGCGTACTGCTCTGAAGAGTTCAAAAGTAGAACGAAACAACTCTCCAGTACTCCCAGTGGTGGGTTTTCCAATGGTGGTTCTCTAACCCAATGTCAGCTGGTCATGATGAAATCCTGTAACCAATCAACCAAATCCCCCCTACAAATCAACACTCAAAATAAAGTAGCATATAATGGAAGGTGATTAGGTGAAGAATATGGTGGAGAACTTTGTGAATATCTTTTTTTCCTTCACGTTCCCCAGTGGAACATAGGGCTTCAAGCTAGAAGTTTCTGTAGCAGTGTTTGTTTTTACAGGATGGGGTTGCTAGCCAGCCTCATGCCTAACCTTCTCTCTTACCACCTTTTTTATTACTGGCTTAGAGAAGTAAAGGAGTGCGTCGGTGTGGCCGGGGATCGAACCCCGGACCATCTGCATGGTCGGCGAGCGTCCTAACCGCTATGCCACCGACGCACATTTTGTGAATATGGAAGATAATAATTAAGAATGACTACATCTGCGCTATTCTGTGTACGATCTTGACCCATCACCCAGCTATTTATTCACAGCATCTTAGTAATCCATCCCGCTAAGACAACTTACAGCTTCATATGTGTAACTCCAGCATTATGCGCTACATCTATCTGATCACTGGAAAACTGCATGTCAAATACACCTAAACACTTTCCTTTTTAGGATGTCAACAGGGCTCTGCACCCCGTCGGCCTCTACACTCACTCACCACTATCAGTATGTCTGCAATGAAATTAGATAATGACGGCGGTGTGGAAAATGGGCATTACTGACTGCAGATGAATATATATATATATATATATATCTGTAAGCCTTTCAGTGATTATGTTAACAGGAAGGAATAAAGCGTTATAATTTATCAAAACATACATTCACGAATATCACTTCCTGTAGCCAAAAAACCAAAAAAGGTAGATAGGAGAGAGAAAGAACTAACCTGAGTTGTATTCTTACAACACCGGCACTCATATGTCTTATTACGTTGATGCGCTATCGCTATCAATCCACACAGATTACACACATAAACTTGATATGGATCACTGGCAAAAAATAATCGTTCCCTTAGGAATTGAGCTGCACCATGCGCTATCTGACAATCACGTTCCATTTCACCGAAACGCAGTCCACCATCACGACTACGACCTTCCATAGGTTGACGATTGAGAATTTGTACAGGCCCTCTGGAACGACTATGAATTTTATCATCGACCATATGTTTTAAACGTTGATAATATGTTGGTCCTAAGAAAATTTGTGAATTTAACTTTCGCCCAGTGAAACCATTGTACATGATCTCATTACCCGTGTGCTGGTAACCATATTCTTGTAAAAGGATTGAAATTTTTCTCACATTGACAGCATCATTGAATGGTGTAGCATCACCGATCTCGCCTTTATTTGCGCTTACTTTACCCTGCAAAGAAAACAAACAAAAACAAACACACACACACAATCAGAATTTATATTAGAATTCCATTTTATGCAAGCCTTAAGGATTTTAAAAAAACAATTAGTCCCTTTTTTATAATAATTATTATTGTTCCCTTGGGAACCTAGTGGAACATAGGGATTCAACTGCACGTCTCCACTTGCTTCTGTCTTCTGATGTACTTTTCAACCTGCATCCATGTTAGTCCGTACTGTTTCAACTCCTCTTCACACGATCTCCTCCATGTCAGTCACCATTGGACGTCCCACTACTCGCCGCTTCCCTTTCGGGTTCCACTCGAGTGATGGCCTGACGCGCTATGTCACCAGCAGCGGCCTCCTCAGCCAGTGAGTGTCCAATCCATCTCCACTTCTTTCTCCTGCATATTTGTTGAGCGATTGGTTCTTGTTTCGTTTGTTTCTTCCCATAGTTTCTTGTTTGTAATTCTTTCCGGCCATCTGATCTTGAGTATAGAACGAAGAGAGCTGTTGTTGATAAAGGTCTGCAACAGGCTGTTGGAAATATTCTTTGTGACCCGCCGCCAAGTTTCTCATCCCTACGTATAGAAGAACTGACTGACTTGACGTTTGTATTGAAAATCCGAATCATTTTGTTGTTGAGTGTTGCTGAGTGACGAAGATTTCCAGATTGGTTTCAGGTTGATCAATGTGTTTCTCGCCTTCCCGATTCTCGATTTGACATCCTCGTCGTCCGTTCCTCCTGCTGTAGTTGAGACAATGCTCCCTCCCGTTGATGGCGACTGGCGCTGGATGTTGCTGCTGTTGTTGGTGGTGGTGGTTGGTTATTTTCATAACCTCCGTCTTGTCTATGTTCACCTGTAGTCCTGTGTTTGCTGCTTCTTCGACCAGTTTGTCGGTTTTCGCTTGTAAGTCTTCGATTTTGTGTGACATCAAACATAAATCATCCGCGAAATCTCGGTCCAGGATATCCCTGTCTTCTCGTTTCCCACTGTCATCTGACGAAGCATAATCCAGTTCACCACAATTAGGAATATCAATGGTGATAATAAGCAGCACCTTTGTCTGACTCCTGTGTGTTTACTCTAAACGCCTCGTTGAGTTTTCCGCTGTGGATCACTTGACATGTGCCGCCGTTGTCGTACAGTCTGTTTGTTTGTTTACCTACAATTAAATACCATTGAGTACTACAAAAACAAAATGCTGAACACATTACACACACGAACACACACACACACACAAGTACACTGATATATATAAATTCTAGGCATAATAATATCCTACCTGTAAACATTCAATTAAATGACCAATCGTCATACGACTAGGTATAGCATGTGGATTAATAATAATATCCGGCGTAATCCCTTCACATGTGAACGGCATATCCTCTTGACGATATCGAATACCACAAGTACCTTTCTGCCCATGTCGACTGGCAAATTTATCACCGACCTGAGGGGCTTTTGTAGTACGTACACGGACTTTACAAAATTTATTCCCCTCATTATTCCAGGTCACCATCACTTGATCAACTATACCATACTCGCTACGACGCATAAATACACTGGCATCACGTTTAGTAAATCTGCGTTGACTGCCTTCCGTCTGAAAATTAATAATAATAATTGAAAAGTTATGATTGTAAAAGTGTATGGTGAATACTAAGGATAGTGAAAAGTTATATGCAATATTCTGGTCATATCACCACTAGTCCATTCTGTGATCAGGTGTTGTCTGTCTGTTTTCCACACAGAACTTTGCACAGACGTGCAGCGGTTCGCGTCGCCGCACTCCCTCCACTCCATGTAGCACACAAAGCAACAGAAGAAAGTAAAAATGAAATGCATAATAGAGAGACAGTAAAAAGAGGTGTGGTGAGACAAAGGAATAGCAATAACGAAGAACACAATATAATTTCATTGGAAATCATAAGTCACAAGGAGTGGATGCATCTGTACCAGCCAGCTAGCCATTGAAAACGATCACTTTGAGCCATATCATCACCGATTGTCTCCAGCCTTCATTGGTTTTTACCGTCATCCCGAGGACCTCAACTAATCAGGAAGCCAGTCTACACCTTCCTACGTGGCTGGCTACCTGGCTTAAACTAACTGTTGTGGATTTCTTCATTGACTGGTGAAGCCATATTTTGGTTTGACCGCCGCTAACTCTCTCTTTTCCAGCCTGACCCATTCATTTATTCACTTTCTTCATTCATTGAACATGAAAGAAACAACCTCTTTTACCTACCTGGGAAGCACTGTTTCAACTACAGGCGGACGGAACTGACGAGGATATCAAAGCAATAATCGGGAAAGCAAGACAAGCTTTCACCACTCTCAAGTCTGTGTGGAGGTCAACAGCACTCAGTATCAAAAATAAGATACGGATTTTCAACTCTAATGTGAAGTCAGTCAGTGCTACTTGCTATACGATCAGAGACTTGGCCAGCGCGGCATAAAGAGCATCTCAAACAAACTAAAGACCTTCATTAACAGGTGTCTTCACTCAGTACTACTGAAGATCAGATGACCAGAAAAGATCAGCAACAAGGTGGGATCTCTGAGAGCGAACCAACACAGCAGGAACCGATTGTGAAACAAATAGGCAGGAAGAAATGGAGATGGATTGGCTGGCCATACTCTGAGAAAACAAACCATCAAGTGAGTGACATCACTAGACAAGCCATTGCCCAAGCGGAACCCGAAAGAGAAGCGGCGAGTTGGTCGTCAGTGCTAGGGTGAGGGTGACTTGTAGGAGGAGGTCATGTGAAGAGGAGATGATGAAACGTGTGGGCAGACTTAGTTGGAGCCAGGTGAAGACTCTAGCAGAGAACCGAACGCACGGCTGAAGAAGCCCTATGTTCCTCTAGGAATTAAAGGAAACAATAATACATATAATGATAATAATAATAATTCATTAAACACATATGAGAAACTCTGACCATTCGCAATGTAAAACAGACACATACACACAATTCCACTTCATCATTGTAACGCATTGGAAACAACAAACACAATCAATGCAGCAGGATTTGTGTAGTCAATGTGTGAGAATACATTATAATTATAAATAGACAGTGAATGATGATGATGATGATGACAGTGAAATTGAAACAATTTTGCTAAGAAAGAAGAGCAAAACAAAATTAAGGAGACAGAGAGAGAGGAAAAAGCATGATTGAATGAGTCATTGATTGTATGAATCGACAGAATGATGGCAGGCATACAGCCGGGTTATTAATAAACCATAACAATAATAGTGAGTCATAATAGCATTGGAAGAAGGGGGGGGGAATATGATGAGAAGGCTTTACAGAAAGAAGGAAAAGTATCACCTTCCACTACTCTTTGTTATTCATCATCAAATCTGCCTACCTGTCTGCCTATCCAGCCAGCCAACCTTCCATCCATGCATCCATCAGTCACACTTTCTAGCTAGTACTTTCTTTTCATTCAAGTATTGGTTTGTAGGGAGGGATTTGGTTGATTGGTTACAGGACTTCATCATGACCAGCTGACATTGGTTAGAGAACCACCATTGGAAAACCAACCACTGGGAGTACTGCCAGACAGCCGTTTCGTCCCAGTTTGGGACTCTTCGTCAGTTAATTTTTGCAAAAACACTATGCTTTCCTTTTATTAAAAGTGAAGTAACGATTAAGATAGTTTACATAAAAAATAGAAAAACTGCGGTGAGGGTGTGGGGGTGGAATAAAAATGTACACGTACAGGCACACACACACACACATGCACACACACAAACACGTACACATAATCTGTGACTGAATGAATGTTGAGTAAACAATTTGACTGTTTGACCCCCAATTGACGCATACTTCCTTACTACTGTAAGTATATATATCTATATATTTAGGAGAATTTAAGAAAAAACTTACACAATAACAATAATGCATGGGCTGGTCACTGGATCAGGTCCCAGTGAGTGGCTTAATATGTTCTACGAGCTAGCTCGCTGGCCTTGCAACCAGGAGGTTCCGGATTCGAACCCCGGTACAGTGATGCGTACTGATGAAGAGTCCCAAATTAGGCTGACGAAACAGTTGGCTGTCCAGTACTCTAACCAATGTCAGCTGGTCATGATGAAATCCTGTAACCAATCAAAACACAATCCCTACAAACCAATACTTGAATATCAATGAGATGCCGCTCACTGGCGGCGACTGGCCCCATTCAGGTATATAGTTAGTTACCTGGGGTGGTTCTAGTGAGAAGTCGTGACCAGTGGTGTAGGGTGCAGCAGGTCGGAGGGTGTGAGGACAAATACTCGCCAGCGATGACATTGGCTAGTGCCAGTCGCGCTATGTCCTGAATTGGCAGAAGTTAGAATTCATGCACTGGCTGGCTGACTGGCTATTGGATCGGTCGGTCGGTCGGTCGGTTTTCGACATAGAACTTTGCACATATGTGCGGCAGTTCAAGTCGCCACAATCTATGTAGCACGCAAAGCAAGAGAAGGAAGTAGAAGAAATGCATAATGGAAACAGTAAACAGAGGTGTGAGACAAAGGAATAGTAATAACGGAGAACAAAACAGTTTAATTGGAAATCATAAGTCACAAGGAGTGGATGCATCTGCGCCACTGAGAACGATTTTGAGCCATGTCACCAATTGTTTCCAACCATTGGTTTTTACCGCATCCCGAGGACCCCAACCAGGAAGTCTACATCTCCCTACGTGGCTTAGATTAACTGTTGTAGATTTCATTGATTGGTGCCATGTTTTCGTTTGACCGCCGCTAGCTCTTTTCCAGCCTGGCCCTATATCAGCTAACATTGCCCGTCGAGGAAGGCGATGACTAGGCATACGTAGCACATGTCCTAACCATCTCAGTCGAAGTAATTTCACCGTTTCGTCGATTGATTTCCCCGCCTTACCTAGCACTCGACGCCTAACCTCAATATTGCTCACCTTATTATACCACTTCGCGCGGGAGATAGAATGCAGACACCTATGATCGAAGACAGCTAATCTTTTCATGTCTTCTGCTCTCAATGGCCAGGTCTCACAGCCATAGAGGAGGACGGAGCGGACTGTTGAGCAGTACACACGCCCTTTGGTCGATAGTCGGATATCGCGTCTACGCCAGAGACGGCGAAAACTGGCGAATGCGAACCTAGCCCTCTGTATTCGTGCTGAAATTTCGTCTGAGATCAACCCGTTGGCACTGGCTGATGGTACTTCCCAAGTAATTGAAGCGGTCAACGTGTTCTACCACTTCACTTCCTATTGGATCGGGTCCCAGTGAGTGGCTTAATTGTCTACGAGCTGCTAGCTCGCTGGCCTTGTAACCAGAAGGTCCTGGGTTCGAGCCCCATACTTATACATAACGGACAAACTGGTCATCAGCACCATCGTTATCCTTATTTATGTGTGAAGTGAATCCACAAAAGTTCCCAATGGAACACACAGTGTGGAGAGACGCTAGTCTCATTCTTGAGCTTCCCCCTTGGTTTCACGGGCATACTGCTTCCTACTACTACTACTATCTTGGGGAGGTTTTAGAGTTCGCTGGTCAACAATCCAACTCAGACCTCTCCCTACCACCCCCCACAGGATTGACGAGAATTCTACCACCACCACCACCAGCACACCATTGCACCAACAATGCAATGCAATATTCAATGATATGAGATGTCATATATAATTTCTATTTCACTTATAACAAGTGACATTGTGTCAGGTTGAATAGAATAGACACTGTCATGCCTGGCAATTAACATTAATTAATAATTAAACACACAATTCTTTCATCCTGTCACCTGCAGTCTCTCTCCTCTCTCTCTCTGCGCACCGGGTGGTGATATTTACTTTCCAGTTAATGATTCAATGAAGCGTCAATAACTCCCCTGGGACAGTCAGTGGTACCTGCTGACTGGAAAGAAATCAAGGTTGTACCTGTACAGAAATCATCTTCTCGAGCAGGTATAAAGTTTACACCGGTCGCTATAACATCTCCTTTTTTGAAAACTATGGAGAAACTTCTTTTGAATATTCTTAAACCTTCTTTAAAAGCTTTTAGTGACCCTAAGCAGTTTGATTATAAGTGTGGAAGAAGTACATTAGATGCAGCCATTGTACGACACCACAATATTGTTTCCTGCCTTGATAAGGGTGCTAAGTTCGTTCGAACAGCCTTTTTAGACTATACTGCAGCTTTCGACTCTGTTCCCAGGACACTTTTATTAGGAAAGATGATTTCAGCACAAACAGAGTCCTGGGCAACTAGACGGCTGTCTTCTTATTTTAAGGATAGGAAACAGCATACTGTTTGGCTGGAAAGCGCTCCACTTCTCAGCTAACTGAAAGTGGTGTGCCTCAACGTGCAGTGCTTTCTCCATTTCTTTTCTCTTTCTTTTTGCATGACCTTCCGAACTCACCCATAGTTAACTTCATTAAGTATGCTGATGATCTGACCGTTTCTGTCCCTGTAGTTTCCACATCGGATTGTTCCCATATCAATGGCTTCTCAGCTGAAGTTAAGGATTGGTCTGGCTCAAATGGTCTTAAACTAAATCCAACTAAGTGTAATACTGTTGATTTCAGCTTGAGAAGTGAAAAAGACATGCATGGATTGTTGTAATA